TGGACAGCTGATTCTCTGTACACAGTGGTCAAAACTATGACTGATGAGCTGTGTATTTGCTGTGGTTTGCGTTTATCATTGTTATGCGATTTTATTCGGAACCACACTGCCCCCACGTGGCTTGTTATGGAAACAACAGGTGGATCATCAGCTGGAAGAGAGGGGAGCCAGCTCATAACATGGATCTATAACGGGTCCATAGACCTAAATGTGTAATACAACTGGGATTGTTGAATCTTTGTGTTGTGTTTCAAACTGACACGAGGATGAACTATTAATAGCTAAATCATAAACACAGAACAAAAACAACCAGTCTAAACCGGCATATTGCTGTCAGGCACTTCCTGACGAATATGCTATAGTTCAAATGTTTTATAATGCAATGGAATAATTGGTTGACTGATTTTTTTTTTCCCCTCACCAGACAGTGTTAATTTTTTTCATCGTTTTTTTTATTTTTATTTTTACAAATATCGAGTATTTTGTCGTTTTTATCACGTTCTGGTGTTTTATTGTTTTTACTCTGTGCATACTTAAATGTGTTCATTGTATCTGTGCAGCACTTTGGAAACTTGTTTTATAAAATGTGCTATTTACAAGACACTGTCTGGTTGCAACTTCACAAACCTGGAGCCTCCGTCTGCATCTTCCGTCATTCCATGGTACTCATTTATCGTCATGTAACAGAACAGAACAAATTGAAGCTTTTCCACGCAGTTAAGAATATTCAATTTGTTATATTTTTTGCAGGTGGCGTGTAACCTTCACATCGATATAAATGCATAATTGATGATGTCGTTTGTAAACAGTGGGCCGCCCTCTAGTGGTGTTACAGCATATAGCATCAAAGATCAACTTCTTCAACTCAAGCGCTTGATAGTAAGTAATAAAGAGCGGCAACATCAAGTGATCTTTAAAATACATTTTATTCATCATTTTGTAATACAACAGTTTACGATATACAGGACAGGACTAAGACATTTCCATGGATTTTGGCCCTAAAGGTTGAAGACGTGTTAGATAGGTACAGATATGATAGAATACTTGCATTCTGTCTTTCATTTGTGCTTTTTCTCCACCAAAACAACTCACAGTGGTGTAAAGGAACATCAGCAGCACAACTGAGATTCAGTTATTACATTGTGCACATTTATTTTCATTATTGCCATAAAACTAACATGATTAAAGTGCTGAGGATGAGAATGGTGCTTGGAAGAAGTGACGTTTGGCAGGTGGTGGAGAATTAGGTAAGTCACAGCTTTGTAAATACAGTGTTAAAGGTTGTGCTTTAAAACATCAGTGCAGATGCATAATTCAACAAGGTTAGAAGCAAGTAGGCGGGGTGTTTCCAAATACTACACATTCTTGAGCAACATATTTCAACTTTAACCAGGGCTACAGCTTTTGAGCAATGTTCCTCTTCCATGGACATAGATATTGACAGATTTAGACAGAATATATAGATGCCATTAACACAGGAATGGAGAAATGCTTGTGTAATCCTCGTATCAGTCATTTGGTGTTTTCTGTTGAAATTTTTCCTTCAGCTCTGATCACAGTTACAGCAGTATACAACAGCAAAAATACATCGTCTGTACATCTGTACTTCTGTTCAAAGTTAAAACTACTCATTCTGTTGTAGTTCAAGTTTCCATCCAAGAGTTTGGCAATGCCTGGTTTCTTCTTTTGAGTTTCAATATGCGTCAAAGGTGAGACACTACAGGCAAAAGCTTTCACCAAGAAGCAGTTTTTACCCAAAGAAAAATGAATAGAACTCAAAACGAATAGAAATTCTCTCAATTTGTAAAGCGCTTTGTGTGACCGTAGTCTGAAATTTTACTTTACTGAAAGATTACTTAATTACAATTTCAGAAATGAAAGACCAATAATACCCCAAAATTACTTTCAAATTCACTAACCTCCCCCTTATTTCAAATACTGTCGATAAAAGAATAAACAAAATATGATCATATTCTATTCCCACAATATATGTGTGTGTGTGTGTGTAACACTGTTCCCATTAAACTGTAGTGTCTCCCGTCAACAATGAGAAGCAAAAAACAACCAAAAGTAGCGTACCAAAACCTAAACAAACTATTAAAATCCAAAGATAAAATAGGTACTTTGTCTTTAGTAGAAAATAGGTTTCCAAAGATACACTGTCAATATTAGTAGAAGATACGACTTGTCTATTTCCTGACATTATTGTCGACACACTGACATCAACACTACGTCTGCGATACATGCAGGCTCTACGCTTCTACGTCACAGTGAGCACAACGTACACAAGACATCTACGTTACACAACATGAAGCACAAAGCGAAAGAAAAAACAAAACAATATCCAGGCCCCTCCTGTGGGTAAGCCTTGCTCCACTTCAAAAAGAAAAAAACACAGCAACACAGTCTGAATATATATATTTTTTTACATTTCTGTACAAAGGGGCAGCCACAATAAATCCACTACAGCAGCAACACACAGGACACACAAGCTCCCATCACAATACACTGTAATGCTCTGAATACATATGTTGTCAATCAATGTTCTTGGGTGTAGTAACTGTAAGTGCTAGGGGCAATTAATAATAGTTTATAGTTTGAGGAATGTTTCGACTTTCACATGTTATTGTTACTTTTGAAACTCTTGTGCTTAGATATATTTTTTGACAAGTTGTAAATAGGTCTTGCAATAGCTCTTGCAGCGCAAACAGTTTTATAGTATGACTTGACTGCCCTCAGTGAGCAGGTTGCCCTCTTGTGGTCTGATGAAGAAAGCACTCTGTTCAGTTTCAGTGTAATAATACTGACAAAACATAAGTAGAGAATAAACATTAGCATGATGTTCTTAAAAACTCATTATAAACTCAAGTACCAAACTACGACAAAAACATTGTAAAACGTGGAAGCCACTTTCAGCTGAGCAAACATCCACATAAGCTCTAGAGCAAAGGGCTGCTTCAGATGTGAGAATAGTTCACAGTGATCGGCCTGATGTGAGGGTTTGAGAGCAAGCACCCAGTCTCTGTGCTGAACCAGCTGAACCATGCTGCACGGCTCCACTCCAAAGAGCAGAGACACAAAACACCACCAAGCCGCCAAGAAACCAGCAAATGATGTTACAAGAGATATATGGTAAACGCTATTTGTACTAATCTTTCTTTCTCTATCTTTTTCTTTCTTTTTTTTTTTTTTTTTTTTTTTACAAAATAAACTTTTATGACCATTTACTAAATTAGTTTGCAATAGAAATACGTAAAGGGAGAGATAAAGTATAGTGTAAATCTTTAAGTAGAATCTTTCTGTATTCACACTTTCTATGATGCTCACATCTGGTTCTATATTAAAGGTTCCGACTGTTTCAGACTGGCTCAGTCTCTGTGGGACAAACATATTGGCTGATAAAACATGTACAGTTCTCTGGTAATATCATCTATTGATTGGCTCACTTTCGCCAAAGGGCCACAGTTTTGCTCGGCACACCAGAACAACTGTTCTTCAAAAGCAGCAGGGTTTTGAGATGCGTTTATTTTGTGATGTCTCTCTTGAAAGGAGGGACAGCAGCTGCTCAGAGGCATTCGCCATTGCTGCCATTACTGTATTGATGATAATGCTCTGTGTGATCTTCCACATAACCACTGCTTGTTGCAATAATGTAAGCAAAACGGTGTCCCTCAAACATGAACATAGATATAGACTATATAAACAAAACACAGAATGCTGTTGTGTCCTGTTCTCTTCACAGTGAAACAAGTATTGGAAGACTTTGTAAACTAAGGATGACTACTGCAGTGTAAGTAGTGAATGTTTTCTTCTAAGCGTGGTTGGATAACTTCCACTGATACATACTGCCTTTGTGTCCTTGAATAAGACAATTCTAACCATGCATAAAGGCGACTGTGGCTGGTTGAGCTGACTCGCAGCCGCACTTCCATCTGCCCAGGGCAGCTTTGGCTAAAGGAAGAGTGAGTGACCACAAAGTGAGACAGACACATGATTGCATGTCCAGAACAACTATATAAAGGCAAATCATTATTCTAAGATTAAAATACAATATTATTTTGAATGTGTTTCTTTGAGATGATTTAGGTCCCTAATATATAATACATGACATAAAACAGGACAAGGTTTCCACAGGTGATAAAACAGTTCATGTGGACCCTGAGAAATTGGCACTGCAATGTCCTGTGAACTTGTCTCATAATTGGCTCACTTTAGAATGTTATTGTGATATCCAAACACATTGAGGATTATTTGTTAAGTATTTGACGTCATCAATTGAAGCAGCTTTAGTGAAATTGTGGAAATACGTCCCACTGAGTATCCCATCAACTGTGTCAAGTTAAATGTGCTCTTGCAGCCAAGTAGCAACAACAACACACCTAGGATTTAGTTGGAAACTAAATTTGAGGTCACCATGTGCTGTAAAATGTATAAGATTTTGAATGCAAACTTGTGTAACAGTGTTCCTTCATATTCCTCTCCCTGCTCGTCGATCTTTACAAGTATGGCCATTGTAAGTCACACCTGTCCACCAAATGACAGCACCACTATGTCCTACAACACATCCACCAACCGCCTTAACGTGTTGTATCCATGTCGCTGCACAAATAAAATGCATGCGGCCAAACACTCTACTCAACACTGACTAACTGCATAAAGATGAAACACGCACAAGTTTGACAGAAAACGTAGAAATATAACTGCATCTTTAAATTATATCTAACAAATTAAAAACTCACTCATGCTTACTCACAACATACGCAAACACACGATTCATTTTGGAAGTTATTCAAATTTTTTCCTCCTTTTTTAAAACTTGACTCCACAGACCACACGCAGATAGATAGAAGGTTAGGTTAGATATAATAAGCCTTTACAATATGTAAAGGTCTCCAGCAAATGGGATCTCCCCCACAAAGGCCTGTGGGAAAGTGGCTTGTATGGGGCAGGCAGGGGGCGGGCAGACGAGGAGCTGGCGTTTGGATGATGACTCGGGGCGTCTATGCGCTGGCGTTGGGGCTGTTGTGTGTGTTGGTGGAGCCGTTGCTTCCCTGAATGGTGAGACTGATCTCCTCTTTCTTCACCTCGTTGGGCTCCTCTTTGAGCTCGTCCTTCTCCTTCAGAGGGTGAGCCTCCGGTGCGTCTTCGGGGGCAGCAGCCATGGGTGCGTAGCGGCCTATCCGGTGCTCCCGAAGCGCGGGGCCCCACTCTGGATGTGGGCGGCATGCATACCTTAGTCGCTGATGATCGAAGCAGAGATGGTATTAAAGAAGAAAAAAGGGAAATATACATACTTTTGCAGGGCCTTCATCCCCACTGCTGTCAGCCTGTACAACAAGTGACTTTAATGACCTGCACTAGGACTGAAAATCTCGCACTTCTATAGTCACTTTAAATTTTATTGTACATAATATAATCTTAATATTATCTTATATATTATTTTTCTATATTTTAACCTTTTAACACTTACTGTCTTTTATTCACCCTGAGTGATTCTATTTATGTCAAATGTGACATGTACATTTCTCCATTGTGAGATCAATAAAGTTTATCGTGTCTTATCTTAAATAAAACAAGCAATCCAGAGACTCCTTAAATTGAAGCAACCCCTGAAACATTCTTTTCTGACATACACATGTCACAGTCGGTGGTGGATAAATTGGATGTTTAATCACTTTTTGGGTTCAATGTTTAGAATACATTACATAGTTGCTTTCTTAAGACAATAGGCTTGGTCTGTACTTTACTTCTCTTCTCTTCACTCACTGTCTGACCAACTGGACTATGACTTTTATTGATACTTTTTGGAACAGCACACATGTACAATGCCAAGAGTACCCTCAACAAGTGGAACTAGGAGGGACATTATTTTTGTACCTGTGTACGTGTGTGTATATTTGTGTTCTATTTTTTTTTTTTTAAATAAATGATTAAATTAATTAAAATTAAAAAAGTATTGAATAAAATATAGTAAAACATGCCATGGTAGCACACACTAACCTCTTACCTTAAATACTACAATTAAAGTTTTGTAGTAGTAGTAGTATAATAAAGAACAAAAATCATTTAGGGGGGGTAAAATAAATGGTGTACCCATTTGCTCTACACAAATAACATGTGTGACATCGTTTGAATAAAACCTAAAATATATAAAAAAAAATAAAAAAATCATATAAAGCTCTAAAAACACTATATAGTATTTGAAGAAAATCTATGCAGAATAAGATGCATCGGAATAATATAAGTACTTGATACCTCTTTGAAGGTGGCTCCTGGGGATCTGGAGATTTTGTAGAGGGCATATATGGGTATGCAAATCACAGAGGACAGGGCCATGCAAAAACCAATGCCCAGAGACCAGCCCGGATACACATAGTCGTTGTAGGTGATAGGTTTGTACTGGATCACGGTGAATATCAGGATGAACTACATTTACAAACAAACAAAACAAAAAACATAAGTGATATGACAAAGTGATATCAATGTACTCAGAATGCATAGTAGTACTTCAGCTTCAAATGCAAAAGGCTGTACCCAAGCTAGAGTTGTGCTGGCACTGTCACAGTACAAATATTTCATATCTTTAACAACCCCAAACGGAACTGAAATCAGACCACTAATCCAAAATAATGGATGTCTTAGTCAGTCCAGCAGCTTAGTGCCATTGCTTTTGGGACATGGATCAAATATGTTCCACTCAAAACAATTTTTTTCGCCACAATACATCTCGAGTGGACATTTTGCAGTTCATTTAGGCTGAAATAGTAGTCATATAATTGTAAATGCATGCACATCGCATTGAGTTTCCTTACACTAATGATGACGGGGGAAATGAATCTCCAGCAGATCCTGAAGAACAGGGGAGGAGGGAAGCCAAGCATCATCTCAACATCTTTAAAGTAGTTCTTGTGACCTGTAATAACAAAAACGGTGTCAACCGAAACAAGTAACAGAGTATTGTCAAAACATGCTCTAAAATCTGCAGATGGAACAGGTGCTGAATGAAGCGTATACTGGCTCAGCCCAAACATTCTCTGATCGCTGACTTTGTGATGATGCCTTCAGGGCTTTGGTTTTATGCTCCAGCTCTAAAAACAAACAGTGTTTCCAATTATTGTGTGCCCTCTGCCATAAAACTGTTGAACTCTAGTGGAGGTTTGACTTTTGGGAATGTCATGTATGAAGGTATTTGAAGTTTCATATCTAATGGGATCCTTCTGGGGAGTGGGGCTAACCCATGAACACTTTATATATGGAACAAGCATTTTTTAATTTGATAAAGTTCTCAAAACTTAATAGTTACTATTTCTAGTTGTTTCTGATTGTTAATAAACACATTGGAGTGGGCGATGCTAGAGGCCTTTTCAGAGAACATCATACAAACAGTTTTTTGTTTGTTCAGAAGAAGACAGAACCTTGTGAGCCAATTCTGAATATGTTCAAGTGCTGACATAGGAATTTTTGCAGCTTTCTCAGATGATTTTGCACTTGGGTAGATTCACTGCATCATCGGCATATAATTGTATACGTACACATTTATAAATATCGGTTAGATCATTCATGAACAGCGAAAATAAAATAACCAAGAACAGATCCTTGGGGGACCCCTAGTGGACAATTTATAAAACTTGATTTCACTCCATTGACCATAGACACTTGTTTTCTGTTAGACAAATATGAAGCCATCCATTTCATGGCTTTATCAGATACATTTAAGAATGGCAGCTTAGACAGAAGTAAATCATGGTACTCTACATCAAATGCTTTTCTTAAATCTAGAAATACTGCACCCACATAAGTGTGTCTATCAAGACTGCTTTTTACTCTTTCCAAAAACATTGTTATTGCATATTCTGTGGAATGGTGCTCATGGAAGCCACACTACATTGGGTACATAGGAGCATGGCCATTATCGAGATACCAATTGTTTTGCTACCCATTTCTCTAGAACCTTGGGAAAAAAGGTAATATGCATATCTCAAAAAATTGGCACCACTGTAGCCATTTTCCAGGTTTATGGTTCAACAGATAAGTTGATTAGATGACCAAACACAGCCCCTTTCAGATTATAGTGCAAATGAAATCCCCTTTGGGATCAATAAAGTTTTCTGAATAACTAAATAGCTTGTTTGATGTATGCATAATTTTTTGCAATGAAATAATTACCATAAATGTACATGACACAGATGCACATGATGCAGGAGATGATGACCAAGGAGAAACTTGCAGCATAGTTGTCCATCAGCAGCAGCCAGTAGATTCCAGCCTGCAACAAACAAGCAGCTTTAACACAAGCAAGAAAACAACATGATATGACTCAATGGTTATTGGCACAAACCCGTGTGGTCAGAGGCACTCCTAGTAAAAACCCGAGGATAGCTATGGAGAGGGTGACCACGGTTTTGTTCCTGATGATCCAGTCTGTACCAATTTCATCCACAATGGCCGTCACAAGGGTTTCCAAAAGACAGAACTGCAAGAATCCATGGAAGTAATTAACACTTTTTAACCCTTTAATGGATTCCTCAATCATATGGCGGATTACTAAGCTTGGAACTGAAATCTATCTCATTGGGGCATGTTTATCATTTGGTTTCAGGCACTTTTACCATCAAATTGTATCTCAACCATCTGGTAAAGACCTATAATTAAGACAAACTAGGGGTTCAAAAACATAACTACCTATTTGTGTTATTTGTGCTCCTACATCTTATAAAAGGAGAGAACATTAAAGGGTTGATACAAATTAGTTTTATCAAGTTTTTATAAATACATGGGATAAATGAGAACATACGTTTGGAGAGAACAGCAGGTCTCCCCACCTAAATTAACAGAACAAGGTAAATGTGACGCAGCGAGGCGAGCTTTCCTGCTGTCTCCTCCTGTGTGCCCTTACACCGGCTAAGGAGTTTTGAATTGTCTCAGGAAATCTGTCTGTTTTGTGATTAGAACGACCATCATTGTACAAGATGTTGTGTTTTGTAAAAGCAAAAAAGCAAACACATTGAATTGAATTACCTGTGTCCCCAGCCCCAGAAGGATCAGCATGAAAAAGAAGAGCAGTGACCACAGAGGGGAGATGGGCAGCAGGGTGAGGGCTTCGGGGTATGCCACAAAGGCCAGACCTGGGCCATGGTCGGCCACTTCGGACACGGGGACGTTCAGATGGTGAGCCATGAAGCCGAGGATGGAGAAGATGACAAAACCAGCATACACACTGGTAGCACAGTTGGTAATGCTGATAATGATGCTGTCTCTGTGGACATAACGATACAACAGATGAAAACACCACATGGTATTTAACTCCACTACATTTATAATAGATGAGATAAGGTATAATAAGATATTCCTTTATTTGCCCCACAGTGGAGGAATTTCAGTGGGTTCAGTGTCATCGTTGCGCACATTACAGCAGAGAAAGAAGGAAATGAGAGCACTCAGATTGCACACATCAAATAGAGTCTATTTACAGTAATATAATAGACAATATAATCAAAATAATATAACAACATAAAATAAATTAAACTCTGGAGCTATAATTACACGTGGTTCAGAATTATTTACAGATGTTTATATTGTACTTTTGCAGCGGAGAATATGAGCAGAATAAACATGAGTAATAATATCAACAGGTAAAGTGACTGGCAGAAGTATCAGATGGATAGATAGATACTTTATTGATCCCCATAGGAGAAATTCAAGTGTCCAGTAGCAGCAACAAAATAACTATCATTCTAAAAAGCTATAATAAATAATACACTTAATGAAAATACTAAAGTAATAATATAAGAAATAAAGTAAAGTAAAACACTGTGGTCAGCAGGAGGTATTTATTGGTACGGTGCATTTACACAGGTGAGCCATGTAGTGACATTTGGAAATAATAATACAAGTAAAAGAACAACCTCTGTTTACTCCAAACTTGTATTTGAACGTGTGGATTTGATTATCGCAAACTTTCCCTCTCTCTGACTTAACTTTGGGGTTCAAAAGCAAAACTAAACCTACTCTATGTTGGTATTTCCTGTACACTTATCACAAAGGATGTTTTGGATGACTTTGATGGCAGCCTCGCCGCTCTTGGACCAGTCAAATTGTGTATACCAATGGGCTGATGGCTCCATGGAGACGGCGCTGAAACACACAGGATGATTAAGCCGCCGTGCAGCTGTGTGTGCTGATAGCATGACCCCGAACTACTGGCAAAAGGCAGAAATTAAATCTTGAGCCTTTTCGTTCACTTTGTGTGTGGTGTCCTCAGTGAGGCTGAGGGACGGTGGATCGGCTCAGGAGAGAGCTTATCTACGGCTTTTCCTCTTTAACGATGTACTAACCTTTTCTGCACTTCTCCTTCGCTCCCTTGGTGTTCAAACACTGCAATCAGCTTGTGACTGGTGCAAAACAGTATCTGCGTTTCTGCCTTATCGCAGCCTCCCTCACAATCCTCCAGGAGAGAGCAATGACTTGACTAACTGATCAATACAACCAACAATTTTCTGAACTCATTCTTTTATCATTTTCTTTGAGACATATAATATAAACATACAGTATATAATAAAATACATTGTTCCCGCATCCAAATCAGAGCAGGAGTTCTATTTTTGACCCAACCATAAACCCGACTCTGATATCAATAAACACACCAGTGTAGCTCCGCCCCTTCTGTCTGAAAACTCCTGTCTCAGTCCTGTAGTAGTATGATGTTATTGTACCACTATGACATTACGCTCAGATCAGTTTTCTATAGCTTTTTAATTTGTATTTTAACCCTAACCCTAACCGCACTTTACTTTATACTGCAACACTTGTTTTTTTTATCTGCATTTAAGTTGTAGTCCTCGACTTTGTTTTTGAAGTTGTAGTCCTCGACTTTGTTTTTGGTTGCATAAATACATGTTGTTCGCCCAAACTTAACAAGTCTAGTTTCAGTAAAATTTCTTGATCAAACTTCGAAACCACAAATGTTATTAAAATCGTTAGAAAGGACTAAAAAAAAAACACTTGTACTAACCTGAAACAGTTATTGTGGAACTTATTATAGGACGCCATGGTAATCAGACCTCCCCAAGCACAGCCAAGCGAGTAAAAAATCTGAGAGGCAGCATCTCCCCAAACCTACAACACCACAAATAATTTCACAAAGTGTTAAGCACAAAAGGTATCCTCTGTGGGTTCTTCTACTTTTCTATGATTAGCACCTTTGCATCCAACACTTTCTGCCACTGAGGGGTCAGGTAGTACTTGATGCCGTTGAAGGCTCCTTCCAGAGTAATGCCACGAATGAAGAGGATCGTCAGGACAACGTAGGGAAAGGTTGCGGTGAAGTAGACGACCTGCAGAACGGTAAGGTTTAAACGTCATGCGTCCAGTTATCAAACCAAGAGTGTCGATTGTGCAATGTATGAAACAGCATACAATCCTGACCTTTCCGGATGACTTTACGCCCCTGATGAGACAGAGAAATACGACCACCCACGAGATAGCCAGGCATCCCAGGATTGGAAGACGCACTTCACCAAAATTCCCAATGTCGTCCGAAATGTTCAAAACATAATGTCTGTGAAAGAGAATGCATCAGTGTAAAGCAAAATGTTTTTTTTTTCTTCTGGGCATTCTTCATTCCGATTGTGTGACGACAACATCAACAAGTTTTGTCAAACAAGCTATTTATAGTGGAGGTGATAGTAAATTCTCTGACTTGCACATGGATTACAAGAATCATCCTTCCTTTCTGTTGTAGGAGAATCCCATACCAATCACTAACTGCTTTTACAGTCAAATCTAGTTCAAATATTGAATGAGTGCTTTCCTCAAATAAACGTTGTGTTTGAACAGACTTTCTCAACAGGTGCAAGTACATTTTGAACTCAGTGTCAACAGTGATAAGGGGTTGCTTGCATAACATGGAAAACAACAGACTAAATGTTCTAAAACTTGGCCATAACAAGAAATAGCAACAACACAACAATGCGTATGCCCTAACAGCATTTGTGAAAACAAATTCTGCAAGAACAGAACCCATTCTCAGAGTTATGAGCACGAATAGGTAAAACATTGAATGTCTCTGTACAATGGTTAGCTCTAGGTCAAGTTCTCCCTGTGTCCGCGTAATTTTCCTCCAGTTGCTCTGGTTTCCCCTACCACTGATCCAAACCAAATAAACAGAAATTGCCATACATTAAAAAAATAACTGAAATGTCTAAATATAGATAAGATGATTTATTTATCAGCCAGCACAAGTGTCAGCAACAGAGATGAAGTAGAATCAAATTTGTGTTTGTCTGATGGGTTTGTGTAGTTTGTATTTAGTTTGTACAAACCTTCTTGTAAAGTTTATACATTTGAATGCTGTTTATGAATAGTAATTTATAATGTTGTTTGGCTAGAGGTCCCTGAACTGACTTTTGAATTGGACTCCAAAAAGGCAGGCTCCAGCTCTGACATTCTGTGGGAATCATGATAACCCTCATTTAAAATGTGCAATAAATGACACATACAACCAGTCAAAAGGACTTACTTCCAATACTCCTCACTGGGACTGGTTCTCTTTGTGCGGTTCACCGCAGTGAGCAGGGTGCTAGTAGCATTTGCCAGACTGGAGTTGACATATGAGCCGGAGTCTACAACTCCAGAGCAGTCTGCAGTGTTCCAAGGATTATTGCAGTAAGTCCATGGTAGAAGGTTTGTCATAGACATAAAAAAGTAGTAGAAGGCAATACAGATGACCACATTGTAGTAAATGCCAATGTAGGTGGACACCACCATCATGCCATAGCCCACACCTGTTTAAGGAGAAGTCAGAGAAATATTATAGAATCCTATTGTACAATGAAGTAAAGTAGGTTGAGGCAATTCACTTTACCTTTGAACATGGGACTTATCTTCCAGACCCCCAGACATCCCAAACTGGCAAACTGACCAAAGGACAGTTCAAGGAAGAAAAGTGGGATGCCGCAGAACACGAGCATGATAAAATATGGCAGCATGAAGGCACCTGTGTCAGACGACAAAGTGCGTCATGTTAGGAGACTATGAATGCATCATGGTATAGCTACAAAACAGGACGAACACAGGATGCAACAAAACCACCTCTAAATTACAACTACACTTCTATTATAGATTGACACAAGGACTCCCACAATTCAGTCATTTTGACTTCTCCAATTCTAACCAATAGTAATCTGAGAAATTCCTCTAAAGAATGTTTAGTTTTAGCTTTGCTCCCTTTTGATAGTTACCGAATACAGAAAAAAGGGAGAATGCTAATTTCTGACAGGAAACAGTGTGTTGCTATGGACACAAGCACTTGATATTATCTGGTGGAAAAAAAATAGATAAAAGACAAAAATAAACTATGTAAAGATGCAGAAAAATGCACATGAGATGAGTAATTACACTTCCAAAACTAAAAACCATCAAATTGAATATATATGAAAGTATTTACAACAACAACAATTGACAAACATAACTCATTAATAACATATGAGCAGTAAAGGGGAGAAAATTCATTCTGGAACGTATTTCATTACCTGGTCCAATTAGAGACCTATTTTTTTCTGAATTATGGAACACTATCATTTTGATTTGCAAAATAATATCTCATATCCCTGTTTTTTGTGATGACGTTATGTTTTGTGTGCTGCCAATTTGAAAAGGGTAAAACACACTTATATCACCACTAAAAGTGTTCGTCATATTGAAATATGAAACAGGAATCTCATGATAAATTTTCATTATGTATTGATTATACTTTTGTGAAGTAACTGTATTCTAAATACTTCCAAATAATACTTCTCAATACCGATGATGGAAGATAAACGGTATGAACAATGTCATTGTCAAGTACCTAAACATTTAAGACCACTGTAAAATTCAACTGTATTTAACATCCTCCATCTTAAGCCAATACATCGATAAAGGTGTTATGGGGACAACTTTGACATTCTCATTTGGAATTTCCTCAACATTTGAAACGTGTGTTGTTGAATACAAAGTGTGTTCCTGTGTGTTGTGAACAAGGTCAGCGCTGCCAGCTGGTCTCTTGTGAACGTATGCATTTTGACTATAGTAAGATTTCTTGTTGACTAAGGCAGACTATTTCTATCTTTTCTATTACTAGAGGTAAAGCCTGTCGATGCATGTCACTGGGTCAGCACTTTAAAATGCTAAGAATGCCCAGCTTGACCCTGACCTCAGCGACACAAGAAGATAATTGAAGTACGCACCTCCTCCATTTCTATAGCAGAGGTATGGGAATCTCCAGACGTTACCCAGGCCCACAGCATATCCCACGCTCGTGAGCACAAACTCAATCTGGTTGCCCCAGTTCCCCCTGCGGGAGTTTTCATCTTTCTTCACCGGCTCACCCGGAACCGCTCCATTCTGTGAAACAGTAACAAGAAATACATATGGTTTGTGCCTAACATTGTAAGTAAACAGCACAAAAAATATCAACAGTTTCCCCTCCATGTTTTTATGTAGAGGGGCAGTGGAGCAGAGAGGATAAATACTAAATGGATGCCTTAAGAACAGTAAGCATTTGGTCTTGTCCTCTTGATTTGCGGTTCCCTCTTACCTTTCAGCCTCTCGCACAATCATCTGCACCCATCTGCTAGCATCAGATGGCTGCTATGTTGACCCACTCCCTCTGCTCATCTCTGTCAGTGTTCATATGGAGGTATTCAGGTCTTTACAGGTGAGCATTAGATCACATTTTATATATGATTGACTTGGCAAGAAAGTACTAAATGCTAATTATGAAATTAAGGAGAATTACTATTACTCAAAAACAATACAACACACAAAGAAAAAACTATTTTAGAGTATGAGGAAAAAAATACAGTTCATGTTTTCTTGATTTGCTTGATAAAATGTTAAATCTTAATCTAACTTAACCTGACATTTTAATTCCATACTAAGTGCAGATGTATAGAGTTTATCACAGATGTTTATACTGTAGAGTTTTATAGAAAATGTAAAAAAATAAATAACGCACTGATTATGCAATGCCTTATCTAAAGAGAGTATTTAATATTCAATAATTTTGCATTTCTGCATATTTGTACAAAAGGCTCCAGGTCACCATATCGAGGGAGTCGTTTGCTACAAAAACCGTTGTCAGCCACAAAAATCTCCCAGTGGAAACCAGTGGATCGTGCAGATCAGCAAAAAGACAGTACAGTCAAAAGCACACATTTATGTAAAACGCATTGCACCTTCTGGATATCAACGTTAGGTTTCTGACCAAGAGTACCTTTTGAGATTAAAGGTTCAGCAGCAAAAAGTACAGAAAACATTATGACAATGATACCAGGGGAAATCTCCAGAATCTGTGACCTTTTTGAGTGGGAGTGGATGCAGGTGGGACAGAAATTAAAAATCAGCAAACATAAATGTTGTTGGAACAAAGAGAGTCAGAGGGAAGTGTTCTCGCATCAGGTCCATGTAGAGAAGTGCAGCTGAGTGAGCATGGCCACAGCATGAGTCCCAGTCTCAAGTTGACTTTGGACAGAGAGCTCTACAGCTGTGCCATGAGGCTGCTGCAAAGACACATCCAGTCTCCTTCATGGATACCACTCTCTAAAAAGCTCATTGATTCTGCTTACCAGTAATGCTTCTGGTATCTAAGTGCTTAAATAAATGAATGAATTAACTACTAAAATGGATGTTGTTCAGAGCTGGGGGAGTACCTTTTGAAGCACCTAATTTTCAAACCACAAAAAAACATTTATCAACAAAACTAAACTTCTATTTTACTGTTGGGATGAACAAAATGTTTGTATTTATGAAACAGTGATGTACCCAAGCTTTAATGCTCTGTCCTTTAACAAAATTGCTGAAGAATGGTGTTTAAGGAAAAAAAGACAGCATAAAGATGGGAATGTAAAGACTTCTGAATTAAAAATGACAACAATTTATACAAGCTTTGGACTAGTGCAGGTAAGTCATATAATGGATATTTTTGCAGCTTCAGCCAAATAGTGGTGTTATGCCTCCAAGAAGGCGATGAACTTTGAGTTTCCTCTCCCCTAGCTGACCCCGCTGCTGCCCAGGTGTTGTAGCCCGTGGTGCTGGCTTCTGGGAGCCTCCTGGTCACTCAGTCAGACAGACACAAACACAGAGACCTCCCTCCATCACATGTGTCACAGGACCATCTGCGCCTTATATAAGACCACACATGCCCTCTCTCTACCGCCCTTTTAGTTTTAGTGACTTTCTCTTGTTCCTTAACGTAAAACTAAAACTAAACATACCAAATGTGAGCATAAATGGCACGAAAAATAGTTCTGTTTGATTTAAAATGTAACGGCGCAAGAAATATCAATTCCGAGCTATTTTTGACGCGATATTCAACATTTTTGGAATCGCAGATTGTAACAAAATTCTTCCAGAAAAATGATCGTATCAAGACCAAAGTGTTGCTAAGTAAAGAGAACCGTCACTTGTGTATCATACTTTTATATCCCGAAAGTACATATATGTCATCCATAAACATGATTGGCGGTCTCTCTGACTGAAAGGTCAGTGAAGCTCTAGATACGACCATTTCTACACTGTGGTTGGAACACACCTTACATTGTAAAATATTTTATTTGTATGATGTTGATGGCAATAGACTGTATCTGATGAGTTTAAAGCTGGGGTAGGACCAACTGAAAGAACATTGTAAAAGTATATTATTGTGAACAAATCGGACCACATGCTGCCTTTCTTTCTGGGCTGAGAGCTGGTTGGCTGAATGTAGGTGGTCCTCTCAAATGCAACATTTTTTAATTAAAATAACCAAAGGAATGAGACGTGTGCTTGGGTTGATAATCTCTTCAGCTGAATGAGATTCTGTTTTATTGTGCAAACTTGTGCTGACTGGGTGTGCTGGCATTCTTTATCTGGGAGACTTTTTTAGCATCACCTCCTATAGAGCACTGGCATTTCACTGACAGCTCACTGCTTCACTGCTCACAGCACAACTGCAAATAGCATACGCACAAAAGAGTGAGGAGCAAACTATTAAGTGAGGGAGGAATGTACTTTTTGTACATTGTTGATAGTACATGTGCATTCGATATAGATAAATATTTATTAAAAAACACACACACACACCCCAACGCGACCAACAGAAGGTTTTGAAATTACATTTAAATCAATAGAACGTTCTACTCCTACTGTGAAGTCCCACGCCCTTTATTCAGTATCGAAAAAATGGAAAGACAGACTCTTTGTTTGGACACACAAATGAGTTATGGATAAAGTATTATTCGGACCAACTTTTTCTGCCGGTATCATAAGATGTAAGCCATAATTATCAACATTATAGGATATAAATGCTTTATATAATTTAATTCAAATGACAAATCTTTTATATTCTAGTGTTCTAAATTTCAACAGTACACAGAAAGTACGACTGAGTTACAACATGAGTGCTGGCCCAGCACTGTTATGTTGCTCAGTAAATAGATAATAATAATAACAATAACAAGAATAACAATAAATAATAATAATAATAATAATAATACATGCTTGTATTCAGCTGAGTTGTATTGTTGTTGTTTCACCCAGTAAGCTGAAATAGACTAATCATTTGTTAAATAGAAAAAAAAATCCCTCTGGATTTCATGCAGGAGAAGAATGTGTCCTCCCATTGCCACCTCTCCTTCCCCGGTGCACAATCTCCCCATGATCTCCCACATGTGATCCATGTTGATGGTCCATGTTGGCAAAGCACTCCCGCTCTGATGCACTTGTTGTAGTTTCCATACAGTGCACATAGGGGATATGTGGATTTGTGATTAACTACTTATTAATTACAAAACATCTATTCACTGCCCTGATATCGATGAGAACATCAACATATTCGCAAATACTTTAGGCTGATGCTAATGCATCAGCCTAGATGTGAAAATCAGTTGAGTATTTTCATTTAATTTAGACCTCCATTAGTCATTGCTGCAGCATAACTCAGGAACATGTTCGTCCTGGAGTCCAGGACATAACTGATTTTAATATAGTGAAAGTAGGACTTTCATAATTCGTCTCCCTGATGCAGGGGTCTCCAAACAGAAAGAGCCACTGTGTGGCTACAGGTTTTCTATCAGACCCAGCTGGAGCAGAGTTGACTCCACCCATTTCCCTGAGTGAATTCAGTCTTAAATTGAAGATTTTAGGAAATGGGTGGAGTCTGCTTTTCTCCGATGCTTGGTCTTATCAGACCTGCGACCACAGAAGCCCTTGAGTACAGGTTTGGACACCCCTGACCTAATGTATCTAACCTAAATGGTCACAAAGCCTTTTCCACATCATTGAATATTTGGCCTCCAGCCCAACAATACAGTGGACACAAATATTGAATCAGCTACAGCATATTCATTTCATCTCTTATTACATGAAGAGAGTGTTTTCTAATTACATTTTCCTACAGAGTAAATCAGAAATTTTGATTTTGCATCACATCAGTGTCTCATTGGGGTTCCCAGTTTCTTTGGTAATATCTAGCTTCTGCGGTCACTTAGCAAGCTAAATCAGCTAAATCATTAGATAAATAGGAAAGAAGCAGCTACAGGTGTGTGCGCTGAACATGCACAAGAAACAGAGGTTTAGATCAGGGATGATTACTTTAGTTTAATTGAATTTATTAAGAAATAAATAGTAGTGTGGGAAAAATAAACTGTAGCACAAGTGTAATTCCCACCTGACTGCATAGCCTGGTACAAAGCATAATGTTAATGTATATTGTCCACTGTGTCTGTCCTATTTCAAAAATGACTATGAAGCCATGAAATATAAAGGAGCTGCTTGAGACATCTGTCCAGGCACTAGATGCCAAGTGTCAAACTACTAAATTTACAATGATTGAGAGATCATTCAATCACCCAGATCTGTTAGAATAATGAATATTGAGCTTCAGACAAACTTGAGTGCTAACTTCTAAGAGAAGATGAAAGTAATGCATCAGGCATCTCCATTTAAGAAATACTACTTCTTCTAGAACCGTACAAAGTATGTTGTAAGTATATAGTATTGATTCATGTGGCACACTTAATCTGTCCCACTCCAACAGTGCCCAGTTTAGTAAACACGTCTGTCTGCAGGACTGGATCTAGTCTGCTTATAGAGGACAAAAGGCCCACCGGATCCCCTCAAAAACAGCCTCAAAGCTCCTTTATGAGTGTGCTGTGAGGTGAGAGTAATGGGCCTAAAGACAGTGTTGACGGTGGCTTCTCAACCTGCAGCAACTGGGGGCACATACCACAGGTTTTGGTCGGGCAGTGGCTGAATAAATCTAAATCCACGGGTGATTAGTTGAGACCAATGGGGTGTCAAAAGGAGGGGAGAGAGAGTAGCGTTATGTCAAATGAGGGGTGAAGCCTGCCAAGATTCTGGGTCAC